GCCCTCCCCTTCTATGATCTTAGCTCCTGTCCCTCTGTCCTCACAGTGCAAGAAGTTCCGGGATCAGCTGTCCCCAAAGCAAGTAGAGATCCTGCGGGAAAAGCTCTGTGCCAGCGAACTGTTCAGGGGCAAGAAGGCTTCGTACCCTCAGAGGTGAGGGCCTCAGATTCTGCACAGCCAGTTCCATCAAGTGGTAGTTCTCAAACGTGAGCCTGCATAGGAATTGCCCAGCAGGATGGCAGGGTCGTTAACACCCAGATGCCCCTCCTCAGAGTCTCTGAGTCGGGTGGGGCCCCAAATTTGCCTTTCTAAAAGTCCCTACACGGTCCTGATGTTTTGGTCCTGGAGGGTGCTCTGTGAACCACTGAGAGAGGTGGGGGTATGGAGGGTGGGGGAAGGGCAAGGGAGGACTAAGATGGGAACTCTGGGGGCAAGGGGAAGCCTTGTGGGTGCCTGTCTCTATTGCACACCTCCTGTGTGTCCTCAGTGTCCCCATTCCATTCCGCGGTGACTACATTGGACTACAAGGGAACCCCAAGCTGCAGAAGCTAAAAGGCGGGGAGGAAGGGCCTGTTCTGATGGCAGAGACCGTGAAGAAGGTCAATCGTAGCAATGGCAAGGTGAAGGCCCGCATGCTGAACTCCTGCCACAGCTGGTCCAGGGCTGGGGGTTGGCAGCTGGAGAGTGGACTGTGGGCTTTGTGTGCTCTGCTGAGTGGAGTGTGTGGGGGCTAACCCTGCCTCTCCTCACACTTTCCTGTTCCACCCCAGACTTCTTCTCGGATTCTCCTCCTGACCAAGGGGCATGTGATTCTCACAGACACCAAGAAGTCCCAGGCCAAAACTGTCATCGGGCTGGACAGTTTGGCTGGGGTGTCAGTCACCAGCCTCAAAGATGGGCTTTTTAACTTGCATCTGAATGAGGTATCAGAGCTGGGTGGGGGTATCACGGGGCTGGGGCAGGCTGGAGGTGATGGGGACCAGACCACTTGCTCTGGGCCTTTGATGTCTCTCAGGCTGCTCCTGAGGAGAAAAAATGAATCCCTTCCCTGCTGTTTTTCCCTCTTCCTAAGACAACATCAGTGGCCTCCAAGGGGGACTTCCTGCTGGTCAGTGAGCATGTGGTTGAACTGCTGACCAAAATGTACCGGGCTGTGCTGGATGCCACACAGAGGCAGCTTCCAGTCACTGTGACTGACAAGTAAGCCCATGAGCTGGGGGCTTGGGGTGATGACCGGGCTGATGGTCATTGTGATGGAGGAAATTTGTGCAATCAGAAAGCGGAAGCACACTATGTCAGGGCTGGGCTTGGAGGTGTTTCTCAGCCCCCCTACCCACGTTCTCTGGGGCATGGAGTCATCTGACAAGGGGGTAGAGGAGGTACCATGTGTTTGCTTCAGGGAGGGGAGGGGGAGCCATCATGGAAATATGGAAGTAGGGGTGATGGGAGGGAAATAGCTTTGGTTTTTCCACCTGTTTTCCCTCCAGGTTCTCGGTGAGGTTCAAGGAGGGCAGTGTGACTGTCCAGGTCATCCAGGGCCAGGGAGGTGATGGGAACAGCAAGCTAAGCTGCAAGAAGAAGGGGAGCCGTTGCCTGGAGGTGACTGTGCAGTGAGGAGGAGGGGCCTACAGCAGAGACAGCAGCTTCTTCCTGCTGGCCCAGCACTAACCCCCCTGTGCCCACCTGTGTGGGAAGATCTCATGTCTAACCCCTTCGATGGTGGGGTGGGCCTGGAGATTGAAGAATCCTCGAAGAGGACCTTTTCCCCAAACCCTTCTAGTATTCTTCTCGAAAAGCTTCCTCCCACCCTTAGCCTCTTTGCCCACTAATAAAACATGTGACTTCTGAAAGGTTAGGTCAGTGTGGATGGATCCCTGTTCCCCGTCTTCTCACCCAGTTGTACTTAGACCCCTTCCCCCATGCCATTTTCCCTGCTTCAGGCTGCTCGGAGCCGGCCAGTGCAGATAATAAGAATGGAAGGAAGGGAAATTGTCTCTGGGCTCCTTGACCGGCTGAGCTCCAGGGGGTTTGGAGAGACTGGGGTGGGGGTGGAGGCATCGGAGATAGTGCTCAGGTCTCAGGTGGCCAATGGGCTGATTCATTAAGTATGTCCCTGAAGGAAAGAAGTGAGGATCCCTGCCTTGGCGGAAACTGGGATCCTATGGAGAGGTAGTCTAAAAAGAGGCCCAAGGCTGGAGAGCTCATGCAAGCTGAGGTGAGCTGGGGAACACAGGGCCCCCTACACTCAGGAGCTCCCTTACCCCCTCCACCCCCAAGCTCAGCACAGGGCTGCTTCCCAGCGACCTTCCTGCCATCCTTTTTCTTTTCACAGACCTGAGACGAGCTGCTGCCAGCAGTTATCTGGCTCATCACTGTCTCACGCTAGGGCCTGTGGCTGGTGGCATTGACAGGGAGATTCTCCCATTCCTGTGACCTGACCCCTTTCCTCCTGTCTTCCTTTGTTTCCCCTGGATCATCATCATTATCTTTTTCTTGATTTCAGTTGTCTTGTACCATCTCATTGTCCCCGTTTCTGTGGGCTCTAATATTAACAGATAATATTTTATATAATGCTTTAAATATTTTTCCACTCCCCTTCATATCTACTTCCTCATAGATTCTGCCTTATTTCAGCCTCTCGCCATCCTGGTCCGTACCTTTGGGGAACAAGCTGCTCCTATATTCCTATATTAAAATTTAGATCTGTGTTCTGTGAGAGCATACAAAGGGCTGCCTTTGTTTCTGTCTCTGGCTGTCTCTTCCTCCTTTCATGATCTCTACCTTCCTGCCCCTTCCCTGTCTCCTCCCCTGAGCTCACTGTGCCCTGAGGCTGGGGTCTCCTTGCACTTCAACTTCCATCTGTAGGCAGCTCACGGCCCCAGGTAATCACGCTGCAAAGGGAGGCCCCATTAACTTCTCTTCCTTCCTGCAGATTAATCTTACTCTCTGAGCACAAGCCCCGTGCTGCTGGTACACCCTGCTCTGAGCTCAGATAGGACCCAGGGAGTCGGCTGTTCCCAAGTGGGTGAGGGGCTAGAGCCTGCCTTGTGGTGTGGAGGGGCTGTGTCCAGAGTAGGGGTAGCTCAGGCTCTGGCTGGCCTTCCCCACCCTCAGCTGCTCCCCCCATCCTTTACTTCTCAGAATCAGGCCAGGAAGAGCCTTTCTGACCAAGAGGGGGTTGGTGACCCAAGCCTGATCGCCCCCGCTCTCTGCCTCATCTCCTGCTCCCAGGGCCCAAATTGTCGTCACTTTCCCAGTTAAGTGTCTGGTCATTTTCAGAAGCAATTTCAGGAGAACAAGCAGCTGCTGCTCCCTATCCTGCTTTTCCTTCCCCAGGGCTGAAGCTCCCTGGGCTGGGGATGATGGGAGGGGTAGGGCTAGGGTCCCTGGTGTCCCTCCTGTTCTCCCTGCATCAGTCATGGGGGTGGATGTGAGTTCAAGGAAGGATAGGGGGATCCTCTCCTTCTCCTTTACTCTTCTATCCCTGCCTTCCTCTTCCTCTTTCCTGTCTCTGCCTCTCTTCTCTTCTGGAGCCCAGGAGTATGTATTTTCATCTCCTGAAGCCCATAAGGGCTCAGTTTCCCCACCTGTATCTCAGGGCTGGTATTGGCTCCATCACTATCGGAGAAGCTGGAGTTCTGCTTCCACCCCTCCCCAGCCCTCCCTTCCCAGCTGTCTTTCTCCAGCCAGTCCAGCACTCTCAAAGTCTAGCTTGTTTTAGCCTCTGAGGCACAAGCCATACTGGATCCCCCTAACCCCTGTGAGGAGCCATTCTAGCGTCTCTCAGCTTAAACCAGCCCTAGCTCAGTCCTCCAGGCTCAGTTCATTTCATCCCCAGGCTCTGAGGGGCTCTTGTTCCTTGTGTGGATTTTCTCCAGCTGTCTTTTGGCTGCAGGACTTAGAAGCTGCCATGCTTCCGTTCTTCACTGGTTTCTTCACCCAGTGTCACATATGGTGCTGGGCCCACCACCCTCACCCCAGCACCCCTCCAGGATGTTGAGGAACTCCACAAGTTGTGCATGTGGAGGACATATTCAGGCCATCTCATGCTTACAAGCATGTGCTGGGCCTGCCTCTACCTCTAGCCCCCAGTGAACTGCCTACTAATCTGTCTCAGCTCAGCACAACTGTACACCCTTTCCTTGGCCTCGCTTTCAACCCACCCTAACAACAAGGAGGGGGCATTACAGGGGCTAGAGCTGCTAGGAACCCTGGACTCCAAGTACCCTGCTCCTCTAGGCCAGGGACAGCAGCTGAGATGTGGCTGAAGTAAAGAGTAGGTGTGTTCTAAGTAAAAACATCTAGGTGCTCTATAGCTGCAACACCCACTTTTCATGTTATTTCCATATAATTTGTAGGCAAAATGCAGCCCAGCCTGCTCCAGCCCTCCAATACCTCTCTCCGTCATCATCTCTGTAATGTGGGCATCAGCTCTTTCAAGTCTTTGCTAATCCCTGAGATCAATGGGGTGTTCAGCTCTCCCTGACATCTCCTTGCTCCCCGCACCCTTGGCTCCTACCATCCTCTGTGAGATGCTGCATCATCAAAGGACATTATTTATGGTGGGCCTTTGCTGAAGCCCTGCTTCCCTGATGCCAGGGCTTGGGGCAGGGATGGATGGGTTGGTAGGGGAAAGGGGTTGATGGGAAGATCAGACCCAGGAGGCTTTTGTTCCTTAGCTCTTGGTCTAACACCTCCTCCTTGTGCACCCAACTCCCTCCAGCCTGCCTAGCTTGAGCCTCCATCTCCAGATTGGTGGGGGTGGGAGAGGAGGAGGAGGGAGATGACTGAGTCTAATTAGGAACAGCACCTGAGCTTCTCAAAGGAATGAACCAGTCATGCCATTTGTATGTAAACAGCTTCTCACTTCTAGTCTTCATCCACTAAATGCTCCCAACCCTGGGTCCTGGCCCATGTTCTTTGCCCACACAGTGATTAGCTGTGTAATGAGAAGTTTTAATGAGCCCCCATTAGCATCTCACATAATAAAGAAGGCTTGAGACCCAGCTGCTGCCCTCACTCTGGGGTGAACACAGGGTCTTGTGTAGCCGGGGTGACTTCTCTCAGTCTGGTCCAAGTCCTGGGGGCTGGACTGGGAGACAAACACTTCAGGACCCCAGCAGCCCTCAAGAGGCTCCATGAAGACACCATGATTTGGACTGAGGTAAAAGAAGCTTGGCTCTGGCTTCTTTTTTTGTTTTAGAAATAAATTTTTATTGAGAACCTATTATACGCCAAACACTATAAAGCAAGGATACATGCTGGCATAACAACTTACATTCTAGTGGGGGGTGTGGCAGAGAGACAATCAATAAGCCACATGCTAACCATGTTGGATGTGACAAGTGCATGAAGAGAAAAAGCAAGAGCAGGACATGTGGGCCTGCAGTGCTGGAAGCTTTAAATAGAATAGGGAGATTGGGGAAGACCTCATTAAGTAGGAGTCTTTGTAGCAAATACAAGGTAGAGATACAGTTCTCTCCCAATCCCAAGATGTAGAAGGTTCCAAGTCTCTTGGGGGAGGTGGGCCACCCACACCCTGTGGGACAGTTAACTGTTACCTCACAGGTCAAAATTTATCAAAATTTAGTGAAGTAAAAAGAACGGGAGATTTGGAGCAAGAAAAACCTGAATTTGTAGCTGTTCTCCACTGATAAGTAGCCATATGTACCGGAGCAAGTGACTGAACATTCTGGACCTGTTTCCTCATGTGAAAAATAGGAATATTTCCTACTTACATGGTGGTGGTGATGGAAATCAAATGGATTGCTCCACGCCGAAGCACCTTGCAAGCCTTCGAACCCTGCACCCTCTACAAATGTGCGAATGTGCACTCGGAGCGACTTCCCCTTTGCTTCTCCAGTGTCTGATCCAGCAGTACCATCTCTCTCTAGCTCTGACTCTGGTCCTGACTCTGGCTCTGCTCTGGGCTCTCTCCCTTGGGTGGGACATGAGCAGATAATCCACCTCATCTGTGCGAGGGACGAACAAGAGGCTTGAAAGCTCAGAGGAGAAAATGCCTGAGTGTCTGGGAGATGGAGTGGGAAAAATGTAACTGTGAGAAAAAGGAAGCAATTAAGAGATCAATGCTGGGGCGGGGTGGGGTAGGGGAGCAGCTGAGCCACCAGGTTCTGTTCCTCCTCTCTGAGAGCACAGCAGGAGGGATAGAAGGTAGAACTCTAGAAGGATGCAACTAAGTCCAGCTGATCTTGGAGTCAAGAAGGAGTGGAGTGGGAGAGACATCAGCACTGGGGAGGGTGGAGGGAGGCCAACACCGGAGGTTTCTGCATTCAGCAGGAGGGGAGACGTATGGCACTCAATAGGAACCAATGTGATGGGGCGGCTCCCACTGGGAGGACAGAGGGAGATGTGAGGACTGGAGGAGATGCAAGACTTGCCTCCCCGTCCTCAGGGGCCTGAGCCTGGTCGTCCTGGTGGGGGCAAGGGACAGAGAGGCACCCGCCTGAAGCATCAAGCCTATTCCAGACTGGCAGTCAAGCCTGAAGGTTTAAAGGCAAAGGAGCTGGTGGGTGACCAGGAGGGGAAATAGGTCCAGGGTCCACACCTATTGACTAGACCAGGCATGGAAATTCTGTAACAAACCATACACAAGATTCCTTAGAGTGCCCAGCTCGTGTGCTGTTAGAAAGTAGGCTGCTGGACAACTCCAGCTCACTGCTGGGTCTGCGGTGTGTGTGGATGTGCGCATGCATGTGTGTGTGTGTCTGGGTGTGTGGCTGCAGTCTGCATCCTCCCTCCTCCCCACCAGCCTCCCCCTCCCCTCCAGCCACCCTGGGATTGGTGACTCTCAGTCCCTCCCCTTGGCTCCCCTAGACCTTCCCAGAGCCTTTATCAGGGAGCTGGGACTGAGTTCCTGCCACCTTCCCAGATCCCCTCCACTCTGCTTCTCTCCTCGCAGCGACACCGGTAGCACGAGAGCGTGTGGGGAGCAGGCAGTGCTGCCAGTCGGCTCCCTGATCCTGCCAGACCGTCCAGCCCTGGGCACAGAGCTGCTCCACAGGTAGGTGAGCGGGAGAATGTCAGACTGGAGCTGTCAGGAAGGGACAGGAGACAGACTCTGGACGGAATGAAGGAGATGATGGCCTTCTATAGGGGAGCAGGGTCCTGGGGAGATGAGCAGAAAGTGCCTGTAGGGTTGAGAGCTGGTTAATGTTTGGAGCATGTCAGTGCAGACTGATCTTCCGTACCAGAAAGTTTTTGCCAAGTCTGGGGGTTATCCAGCACTGGAAAATAGCACTCAGGATCCCTTTTCAAGCAGCTATAGAAACAGACCAGTGCATGTACTATAAATCTATCATCTTCCTTGGGAGCTAGAATCCCCTGGCACTAGTGCAACATTGATCATTGCCAGGGTCACATTCTGGGGAGATGTCTGGTGGGGGAGCAGGGAAACGAAGCCCAAGGCCATACTCCTGCTTGGTGATCCTTTCCACTCTCTCTCTCTAGACCAGACCGGGGGAAGCAGGGTCAAGCCAGGCTGCTTATCATGAATGTCTTCTGCATTTCACCCTTGCTGTATCCTCCTCTCCCCCCACACCTGGGTCCTGTCCCTTTGATCTCCCAGGCACCATGAGGAGCACCCTGCTGTTCACAGCCATCCTGGCCATCAGCCTGGCTCAGAGCTTTGGGGCTGTCTGTGAGGAGTCGCAGGAGCAGGTGGTGTCCAGCGGGGGCCACAGCAAGGTAAGTCACCCTCTGGCAGAGTATTGGGAACATCATGGGAACCTGGGGCTCTGCCTGTCTGGGCAGCTGTGGCGATGATGTGTGTAGGCAGGTGAGGAGCTATGTGGGTTATCTATCAGAGGGCATTTTGTTTCCCTTTGGATTTCTCCACCTCTCTGGTCCTCTCGTGTGCCTAGCACGTATTTGGCACTCCCTGACACTGTCTCCAGTGTGTCTGTGTCTCCGTATCTCTGCATGTCTTTGACACCTCGTACACAAAAAGGTGCCCTACAAATATGTTGTCTGCTTGGTTGATTGACTGGGGATTTGATGACTGGATGGTATTGTGAGGGGTGAGCTAGGGTGGGCTAAGGTATTTTATGGTCCAGCTCAGGTTCTGTCCCTTTATAGGGGACAGATCTTCTCTATTCCCTGGATGGAATGAAACACAGCAAGACTTTCTTTCCCAAATAGTCATTTGTATGCTATTTTATCTATCAGTTATGCATATTATTTTATTTTTAAAATGCAAATAAATTCCATTATACTCTGTTCATGCCCTCTGTAACCTCAGGTGCTTCTAAGATCCCAACCCCTTCCTTCTGTCCTCTTCCTTGCCCACCTCTATTGTCTGCTTAGGATAAAAAAAAAAAAACCAAACAAAAAACCAGAAAAGCAGGTTGAGCTCCAAGTTCCAAAGTTCCTCTAAGAAATAGAATAGGAATTGTCAGTGTAGGGGTACAGGGAAGAGCAGGGAGGAAGTCTTTTCAAGGTTTTGAAATGACAGCAATTACATTGGTACAGATGCTTTTAAGATGATCACAGGTGGGACTTTTATTACAAATTCAGTGTGTGAAGTCTAAATGCCTCTCCAGCTCCAATCTGTTTAGCATCTCATTACAGGAGATGGGCAGAATATTTGAACAATTTGGGAAAAATGGCTGCCTGGAAGCCATGCACTGAGCCAAGAGAGAGATCACAAGAGCAGCCTGGCAGGTGGCAGCAGTTGTGCCAGATCCAAAAGACCAGAACCCATTCAAAAACCACACAAGGAGTGCCAAAAATGGGCTAGGCACTCTGTCTGGAGCCTCAGAATTCCAGCCTGGGATAGTGTTCTTCGGAGATAAACTTGCTGCAGGACCTTGGGCAAGATGTCCTCTCTGCCCCTCTTGGTCAATGGGAGGAAGGGATTGCTATCCTACTCCTCCTCGAGGGTCTGTAAGGATGAGGGAATTAGGGCAGGAGGAGGGTAGGATATATGTGCACCCAGGCAACCAGGTTGGTATGTGTTGGGATGCACCCTGTATAAATGCACTTCTGTGTGTGCACAGAAGCCCAAGGACGCCTGGGCTCTAGAGAGAGAGGCACTGAGATTCAAGGTGAGAATCTTCAAATGTGATCATTGTCATTGTCTCTCTGCAGCTGCAATTAACTGAGCGCAGGGTGTATGCCCACCACCCTGCTGTGCCCAAATTGCTAAAAAGAATCACAAGGACAGTCAAGAGCCCCTGCTGGGCAGCAGCTCCAGAATCTGGGATTCAGTGGGGCGGGGGAGAAGAGGAGGCCCTTCTGAGCATATTGCCTTCCTGAAATTCTAGACCCAGGGCAGAAAGGGGAGGGAGAGAGAAAGACAGAGGCAGAAAGCCATGGAGAAGAAGAAAGAGTGAGAGGCAGTGGAAAAATTGGGAGAAACAACCATGGACAGAGCGCAGAGAGGAGGAATCTCAGGGTTCAGACTTGCCCTAGCTGCCTGCTGCCAACCATCCCAGGATCAAGTCCTGTCTGTGACTCAGTCGTGGAACACAGACCAGAGAATACCTGCTGTCTAATGGGCTTTTCCTGGGAGCAGGGGAAGTCATGATTCACTCACTTAGTAGTGACAACCACATCCATGGACAAACAGGTTCCTGTTATGCCAGGGAGAAAAAAACCTATGGCCCTTCACACTGAGAGGTAGCAGGAGCTGGAATGGGGCCTCAGGGGACAGTCCGCTTTGAGCTTTGGATATATCATGATCAACTGTCCCAGCATTGAATGTCCCACATTCTGGAAGTCCTTAGTCCTGAGCAACCCAGGACAGTTGGCCAACCCACAAAGATGCCCAATGCCTTTGCTTCACCTGGGTTTCTCAAACCTCGCTGTGCATATGAATCACCTGGGGGTCTGGTTAAAATGCAGATTCTGTCTCAGTAGGTCTGGGATAGGACCAAGATTCTGCATGTCTAACAAGCTCTCCAGTGATGTTGCTGCTGCCCGTCCATAGACCACACTTTGAGTGCCCACTTCTCTTGAAGTGTAAACCAGAGGGAATCCTGAAAGAAATAGGATGTCAGATTCAGCTGGGATAGGCTCAGGAAGAGGCTGTTTCTTGTGGGAAAAGAATGAATGGATTTGGGTGTGAGCCTCCTATGTCAGCCCTCTTTGTTTTTCTTTCCCAGAAGGATTCGAATCTCTACCAGCTGCCCCCGTCATCCTTGCTCCGGAGACTCTATGACAGCCGCTCAGTCTCTCTGGAGGGATTGCTCAAAGTGCTGAGCAAGGCTAGCGTTGGTAGGAAGTGGCTGGGGGGGGGGCGGACAGGATTCTGAAGATTAGATAAGTCTGGAGACCCTTTCAGATGGGAGGGAGATGGGGGATGGCTTAGTGAATCGGTGAGGGTTGTGATCTGAACCTCCCTCTGATGGTCACTTTCCAGCTGCTACTCCCCACTTACACAATTGTTCTTGCTTTCACAGATCCTAAGGAATCGTCACTTCCCCAGAAACGTAAGTAGCCTCTCCTCTCTCCTTATATCTGCTGACCACTTGCCCAGAGTTCCATGGGCATGGGGTCCAGGGGCCATTTCAGATGGCCCCATCTCAGCTGGTGCAAACAATATGCCAGCTGCACCTGTTCAGCCATCTTTCCTGAAAGGGAGAAGCCACAGGGGACTAGGAGGAAGCAGGTGTGAGGGACGTGGTGGACTCTCCCTCCACTGACTAGTCATTGGGAAACAAGAAGCTCTTCTGGCACCCCTGAAGATTCTAAGCCAGGCAACTGCTAGGGCAGAGAATTTCTTGAAATGTGGAGGAGGGCGAGCTGGGCGGAGAGAGTGGGCGTAGGAGATACACCTGCTAACTATGGGGAGTCAAACTGTGGCAAGATGGAGGGACAGGGACCAGAAACCCAATCTAGGAAGTGTTGGCACATGTCTGGGGAAATGTACCACTTTCTCACCATCACTGTTGACAATGTTGGCCCTTTTCTGCAGGTGACATGCATGACTTCTTTGTGGGACTTATGGGCAAGAGGAACATGCAGCCAGGTAGGAGTGTGTGGAGGTACAGTAGAAGGGTTTGGGGTACTGGCAAGGATATGACAGAAGTCAATTGCCTCATATTTGTCACCAGAGGGAATGACAGGAATTTTCTTAGCTTTAGTGAGGGTTTCTGGTCCCCTTCTTAGCAATCAGCTTGGATCCACAGTCAGGCCACCCCCTCAAACCCTACCCCTCCGCAGCCGAGCAGGGCAACCTTTATTAGGTAGTCCTGCCGCAGCTGGGAGGGAGGACAGGGAGGTCCTGCTTCCTCCTCATTCTCCCAACTCTGTCTTCTAACAGTGCCCTTCAGAGCCAGCCCTTCACTTTTGGGTCAGGGTGAAGGTTACATTAAAAAAAAATCCCTCCTAACTATGCTGTTTACCCTAGATACTCCTGCTGATGTGAATCAAAAGAACATTCCCAGCTTTGGCACCCTCAAGTATTCCCCTGATGCAGAATGAGGTAAGCATTGTTGGTTAGAGAGAGGGGAGGGGACTGTGTTGGGGTGGGGGCGGGGTTGCCAGTTGTGCATTTCCTCTGGTGCTACAGGCCCATTAATGCTCATAAATTTCCCCTAAAATACACTGCCAGTGCCCTAGAACACTGTCGGTCAAACACAAAGACACTTACAGGCACGTGTGTGTGCATACTACCTATCCCTTTTTTTCATCGCTGCATCCTGTATCATGGATCCTCACTGACTATGGAGCAGAAGGAGTGAGTGATAGGACGTGGGGAGATTAGGGTTCCCCTGGGGCTTCTCTGATGGGCAGCTTCAATTGTTTGAACTCCATTCTCTTATGATCTGTACAAAAGATGGAGAGGTCATCATCTAATAATTACAGGTACTACATCCAATTCGCAGGGGAAGTGTTTGCCTCCCAGGTAGGCTGAACCCTTCAGATCACTCAGAATCCCAAGTTTCTGGATCCAGAGTGTAGTTATACACAAAGGTGGTTCAGGGAGAAATGCAAGGATCTCTGAAACCTAATTGGGAGTAGCTGGAAACCATGCCTTAGTCTTTTTGTATAGCATAATGGATAAGAGCATGGCCTGAATCTGAAACCTGGATATGCTACTCTCTAGCTGTATCCCTTGGCCAAATTGCATAACCGTTCTGTGCCTCAGTTTCTTCTTCTGAAAATGAAGGTGATAATAGTATCTTGCAAGTTTGCGGTTTTGAGGATTGCGTATAGGTAGTGTATACAACGGCACCTGTTGCACAGTGCTGTGTGTGAGCTTTATTATAATCATTCCTGTTAGGGAGGAGTGGGGGATGTCCTAGTGTTCCCCCGACTGGCTCTGGTCTGCCTGCCTAAGCTGCCTGGGCTGGACCCCAGGCCTGAGTGGGCTGGCAGCTTCCTCACTTGGTATGCAAGTGTGAGAGTCCCCCAGGGAAGTGTCTAGTCAAAACACAGAAACTTCCGCCTTGACACCATCTTCCCACACACAGAAATAGCAGCTCCACTGATGGCTTTCTTTTCACTAGCTTGCAAGGAAGGGGGGTGAAAAGGAGAGGGAGAGGGCTGGGGAAGGCTTAATGATCACAGAGAGACTCCTGCCTCTCACCCTACATTCCTATCACTCATGCTTATTGGTCTCAAGGTGGCAAGCCCGAGACCCAAGGAGCCAGCTCTTGATACTGCCTGTGCATGACACCCAGGACCAGAGACTGGGTCTAGCCCCCCATTTAGTGTTGGGTGAGAGGGCACAAAGAGCTATAATAACTGTAACTCGCTGATTACATGGTACTTACCGTATCATTTTGCTCTCATTAGATGGTTATTTCAGTCCTGCCGTTGGCCAGATAATTATACGGTCAGTTATATCTGGATGACATACTCTGTTCCAGCGTTAGGCACTGGCCATAAAGATAATTACAGTGCAATTTTGCCATACTATTTTATACAAATAGCAAAAACAAGCGCATTGTAGAAATCTACTTTTAATGTTTGCTTGTGAATCCAGGCTCTTTCAGAGGGACCAGGCCCATAATTGCAGCCTTCATAATCTCACCACTCATGGAGCATTCTCAACCTGTTAGGCGCCAGGCAGAATAACACATAAGGTTCCTGGGAGCCAGCATTTAAAGGAGATTAGGTGGGATGGATCAACACAGAGCATTTTGTCATCTTATTTCATTCATGTGAAACTACTGAAAAGGGAAGTGATCCCTGGGCCTGTCCTTCCTCTGGGAGGTTTCTAGGAAGAGGAAGTACTGGTAAGGTAGGGGGGCACTAGCAGCAGGGCACCTAGGACCTGTGTGTATGCCTGGCTCATGGGGTGCTAGGGTAGCAGGGTCCCACAGGCCATGCACACAGGTGTGTAGACTAGCATGATAAATAGAGCTGGGAAGGTGCAAGACACTGCTGCTAGGAGAGTTCAGTCCTCTAGCTCAAAGGCGGTAGGGAAGGCTGAAGGTTAAGACTACTGTGTTCTCTCTCCTTCCTTACAGATACCCTGCTCTTCTCCTCAGCTCCCCTGTGGGTGGTCAGTGGGAGTTTTACAGGGCATGAGATGTAATTTCGGGGATTTCTTGGTCCTCAGCACTTCACGTCTGGATCCCTGGACTGCCTCATGAAGACATTGTTTCCCTGTCCCAACCCCCAGATGCACGCTCTCCTATTTCCCGTTCTCCTCCCCATTATTTTAACACTCTTGTGCTGTGACTCCTTCCCCATCTCTTCTACCCCACCCTGGCATAGAAACAGTGTGATGAATATCCCCAATCCCAGTGGACATCGTCTATAGACTCTGTAGAGTGTCTGTAGTGTCCTACATTAAAAATACAATGTCTCTCTCTGCTCCTCAACAATAAAGGATTTTTACATGAGTGATGTGATGCATTTGTTTGCTTATTTGGTTAGTAGGTTTTTCTTTTTCTTGACTATTCAGCTAGATCATACATAAATACACACATGTGATACACACACATCATATTTAAATGGAAGCATCTTTATTTTGTACACATATCTATTTCCTCAATAATGCTTTACAGAGTGCTTTGCACAATTTAGTATTAGATTTTTAGTGATTAAAAGAACACATAAATGAATTTGGAAGATGGTTTCTAACACTCAAAGATTTTTACAGAGTAGCTTCAGATAAAGAAAAAATAGATATTCTGAATAGCTTGTCTGTATTACTAGGATGGGCCTGGTAGACATCAGTCCCTTCATCTGACCCTACTTAATTAGAGAGGGATGTGGGGATCAAGTCTGTGCAAAGATCCAGCCACAGAGAGGATGAATCTATAACACCGTATTGTTTTTCTGTTTCTGAGAATGAGTTCTGTGACAGATCCTGAGGATGAGATGGTGACCTATACAGTGTTTACAATCTAGCACAGCTGTGAACAAGCAAACAGAACTTTATCCAGCTAGGATTGGGGTTGGACAGGGAAGTTACTGCAGAGACCAAGAAAGAGAGAAGCAGGTATCCTCAGAATTAACTTGCTGCCTCAGGTATTAAAAAGGGACCAGATTTATTTCAGACTCCTCTATAAGGCACCTGTTACCAGCCCCTGCAGCTCTGGTCTAGAAGTCCCCAGAATGTGTAAGGCACTTAAATTTGGTATGTGTGGTTATGGATTTCTCTTATTAATCTGAGATGCCAACCAGCACAGCCCACTGACTCCAGGGCGGGTTCTGTACCCTAATGGAACAGCCTGGGAAATCCTCAGGCTCCATATCTTAGCCTGCTGTAGGAGACGTTGTTATGCCCCTGAACTTCACTGACACAAAGTTGATATTCAGATTTCCTAAGGCAGTGTGAGGACAGGGCCACAGAGCCAGAGGCAACTTCCTGCAGTTCTTGCATTCCAGTGAAAGTTCTATCTTCCCCAAACCTGACTGGGGCCACTTTGGACTGACAGCTGCTCAGTGGGGGGCAGGGAAAGGAGAGAGAGCTCGCCCCAGCATCACTGGTGTCAGCTTTATAGCCAGAGGTCAAAGAATGCCCCCGCCCCACATCCTACAGCCTTCCCCCAGTGAGTCATCTCTTTGACTTTTCAAAATTGTTTATCTACGGAGTTTAAAAGTGGTGACATTTTGCAGAGTCTGGGGAATTTCTTTGGGTAATGAAACCTTCAAGAGTTGGTTCTGCTCAGACTTGGTGGGAGGGAGTCAGGCATATATGCTGAGATGAGACAGTTGCTTTGCCAAGGAAGAGCATAAATGCAGAAATGTTGCCCCCTGGTGGGACTGACAAATATTGCAGTACTGGGGACTCCAGGGAAAATGAAGACAAATTTTAAATCAGATTCCTGTTTTTTGTACTTGGAGAACGGGTGAAGGGCTCCTGATCCTCCCCTTCCTATTGTAAAGAGGTTGATGCCTGATGCCTAAGGAGACCTGGTCAACAAGACCTCGACTAAATTTTTGGCCCTTTCTTCTCCATTTAGCTTTGTGTATGTGTGTGATTGTGCCTGTGTGGCAATTTACTTTAAAAAGATTTACTTTAAAAAGATTTCAGTATAAACAGTATAAACTTTCATCTACATCTTCCGAGTGGTTTGTTAGCATGTGAAGTTTACTGGGTCGACACCTCACAGATGGCAGAGGCAGTTGGTTAGAAAGACTGAACTTGCAATCCCTGAAGTCTCACGTCTCTAGAGTCATGCTGGAGGTCTGGAGCCTGCCGGCTGTGTGATGTGCCAGTTCAGGGGGACTCGGTCACCTTGCCCAGCTGCGGGGGCTGGGTCTGCCATGGGAACATTGTATCAGCCTCCAAGTGACCCTTTCACTACATGGCAAAGTGAGATTCCTTGTCCCCAAACTATAAGAACAGGTTCTATGGCTGTTTTCGTGTCTTTTAGCTAATAAATGTTACATGTTTGGCAGCGTTTGATATTGTGCTTTCTTCCAGTATAATCTGCCACCAGTTAGTAAGGTTTTGGAAAGAAGGACACACAAGCTCCCAAATTCATCAAAAGAACTGATAATTGCTGAGTGGCTAAACTGGCTTAGATAAGTTGGCAACATCCTGTGTGTCTTCTCCTTCCCATTTATCCATCAAAGAAGGACTGGACCCTACCATGTGCCTGTCCTGGGGATTTGTGCTTGGTTGCTGCTGTCGTCAGGCAGGGGATGGGATCGGATGGCAGACAGGGTGAAACTGAAGGCTCTTGGAGCCTGAGGACTGCCTCTGTAGTAAGGAGGGACAGCAGGGTGACCAAGATTTATAATGTCTTTGGGTTGGGGTGGAGGCAGGCCAGATAGGTAGTTTGGGTTTGATGACAATTCTTGGGCAGGAGCATTTGAAAAGATGAATTGGGAGAAAGGTGGGAGGCGAGTGATGGAGTTCTGGAAAAAGTTGGAGAGGACAGGCTTCAGGAAACAGGCCTGAGGTGTCAACAAAGTATGCTGGGATCCTGTGGCTGGGATCCTGTGACTTCCTTCATTTCACTGTCTAGGTGGAAGGAGGGACAGCAGTGGATTATCAGAAGGCTTCTACTGGTCTCGCCTCAAGTACTCCGTCATTCATTCATTCAAACAGGCTTTATTAAGCTCTTACCGTCTGTGCCAGGAAGGGCATAAGAGTGGAGATACAGTCGTGTGCAAAGTCACAGATCCCTGCCTTCAGGAAGCTCATTAATTAAATAATCTTACAACTTTTTGTCAAACCACAACAGCGGACGTTCTGAGGAGAAGCTTTTGGAATTGTGAGCGCAGAACAGGGGAGGCGATGAGGGTCCGGAGAGGTGTTTCACTCTTTAGACCCCAGGGCGCGGAGGGAGTGGTCCTCCGCAGGTGGGGCAGCGCTGGGCCAAAGCCAGGCCAAAGCCAGGCCGGAGGACCCGGGACCCGCCCGCTGGGCTCCGCGGGGCCCCGCCATGGGGGGGCGCTGCCTCCTCCCGGGCGGCGGAGGGCGCTGCGGCCGGGCGGCGGGGGGCGCTCCTCCGGGACGGCGGGGGGCGCTGCGGGTCGGGCGGCCGGGGCGGCCCGGGCCGGCGCGGCGAGCCGCGCGGCGGATGGAGACTCTGGCCGCGGCCGGCGGCGCCGCCTCCTCGTCGGGCCGGGCACAGAGGGCCGGGGCCTTTGTGTGAGGCGGCGGCGGCGATGGTGCTCGGGGCCCCGCGGAGCCGGGTAAGCGCAGCCGGGCCGGGGGCTGCCGCAGCCCGGGTTTCTCTCGCTCTCGCAAGCTCCCTCCTGCCCTGTCCTCTCGGCCGGACCACCCTCCCCGCCCGCGCGCCGAGCCCGGCCGGCCCCGCCGCCCCTCCCGCGGCCCCGTATCCAGCCCCGCGCCCCCGCCCAGGTCGCCCGGGTGAACCCCGCGCTGTTTGTGGAGGGGCCGAGGCGCTTGGTGCCCCCAGATGGGGTGCCCCAGCCTGGTCCAGCGCCCTTCCCTCCTGGATTCGGCTCTCCAGAGTGGGGAACGCGGCGCCATCGGGTTGTTGGGGGTCCTCGGAAGTTCCGACCCTTCCTTCCCGCCCCCTGCTCAGGCTGCCCAGTGCCCGACCCGCCGACCGTTGGTGGGTGGCCACTGGGGCCTGGGAGATGCTTGGCTGGTACCCGACAATACTCAGAAGCTTCCCGGGCCCCAGAAAAAGTTGGGAGTTGTTGCTGGAATCTGATGAGATGGAGAAAGGGGCTGTGTTGCTCAGGGAGAGTCTGAGACTGAACAGGAATGCATCCAGCTCTTCTTCCTCAGGCATGCAGGAGGAAAGGGGGAAAGTGGTATGGAACAAGCCTCTAGGACTCTTACCTGAATAATTAGATGTCTTATGGCATCAAGTAAATCTGTTGATTCAGGGTCAACATAGGCATAAACCCTGAAAAGGGTGGTAAAAAGGAATAAAATATATTCGAGTAATATTAAATACTACCAGTTGTGTTTCACTTTGCTTTACTTCTTTGGGTTCTTAATGTTGTAACTTCATTCACAGAATACAGGGAATGTGTTAGAGCAGTATCAGGGGTGGCTGGGTTATAGAAAGGCCAGAGAGCAGGCATGTAGTGTAAGTAGAGAGAGATGAGAATTCAAGAAAGGGAGATTTATTTAGGGGTTGAGAGGACTCAGCAGTGACAGAAAACTAAAAGATCAAGTGCCCTTATCTTTTCCTCAGTAGCTAATGGAGCTCTGATAACTGTGTTCAAGTACGTGTATGGCATTTGGTATTGTGAAGGAAGAGAATATACTCAACGAGATAGGAAAGCTTGTATTTAGGAGAAAATTAATATAAGAAAAATCTGAGCCAGTTGCTCTGGTACTGAAGAATAAGATTGTGTCTGAGGGAAGTGCCTGTGGCTGGGCTCTGGTCAATGGCTTCTGTCCAACAAGTCCTACAAACTCTTACCGGCTCTTATGACCAAGCTGTCAGATTTTTTTCAGTCCTTTTGGGTTTTGTCACAATAACTTCGTATTTGGGTGTATGCAGGGAGAGATGTCATTGTGTCGTCATTAGTGTTGTCCTTGCCTCCACTGGAGTGGAGCAGCTCTCCATGTCCATTCAGTCCTGCTCCCTACTGGGGGCTTGGAAGTGTTCAGAACAGTGGTATTTTCTCCTGCAGAGCCCCTCTCTTGTAGGGTTGTGTTTAGCCATCCATCTTTTTCTTTTGCTGTCCACAGATTAACTGTGCTAAGAAGGAGGTAACTTCATAGGAGCTGCTAAGATGGGCATGAGGATCAAACTGCAAAGCACCAACCACCCCAACAACCTGCTGAAGGAACTCAACAAGTGCCGGCTCTCAGAGACCATGTGTGACGTCACCATCGTGGTGGGGAGCCGCTCCTTCCCAGCCCACAAGGCTGTGTTGGCCTGTGCGGCTGGCTACTTCCAGAACCTCTTCCTGAATACTGGGCTTGATGCTGCCAGGACCTATGTGGTGGACTTC